CGATGCTCATTAAGAGGGCGGGGCAAATGACGCGTGTGTACTGGTGGACCAAAACGACGATAAGGGGATTTGGCGGACACCAGGTAGTGGAGCTCTGGCTGATTGAAGATAAAGAAGGCGATCTTGCTGTTCGGCTGCTGAGAGTCACTGTGTCAACGTTTATCCGTTGGTTCGCGCTGTACCGCGATAATATATTATGGGGCCCATCAACCCAGGGCCAGATAAAGGAAATCGATATGTTCTGACCCTGGTGGATGTGGCTACCAGGCATCCTGATGCGGTTGCTTTGAAAACCATAGACACCGTTCAGGTAGTTGAGGCTCTGTTGAACATGTTCTTGAAATACGGCATACCAAAGGAAATACTAGACGATAGAGGGTCGAATTTTACCTCAGAAATGATAAGCAAGGTACACAGATTGATGTCCATTGACCAGAAATTAACTACACCGTATCACTTAATGTATTACAGGTTGGTGGAGTAATTTAATGGAACCCTGAAAACTATGTTGAAAAGAATGTGTAGGGAAAGGCCTAAGGATTGGGATAGATATCTGCTGGCACTGTTGTTTGCATATCGGGAGGTACCGCAGGCCAGTTTAAGATTCTCGCCCTTTGAGATGCTGTATGGAAGAATGGTGAGAGGCCCAGTACCAATTTTCAAAGTTTTGTGGTCCAGGGAAGAATTGCAAACGGAGGAAAAGAACACATACACGTATGCGCTAGATCTGAGAAACAGGCTAGCAGAAACATGCAAAATAGCTCATCAGTAATTAGAACGAGCCAAGCAAAAGCAAAAGAACTACTATTATGGTAAAGCAGTGCGGAGGGCACTAAAGATGAGAGATAAGGTTCTGATACTGCTGCCCAAAGAAAATAACAAAATGTTAATGCAGTGGAAAGAGCCATTTATCGTCGTGCAAAAGAAGAGCGAAATGGGCTATGAAATTTAGGTGCGTTGCTTCAATGTAGCACATGATCAGAAAAATGTGTTCCACATCAACATGCTGAAGAGGTATAAAGAGCGAATAGAGGACAAAAAGGGAAAAGAGAAAGAACTAGTTACTGTATGTATGGTGATTGCAGAGGAAAACTGGGAAGAGGTACCTATGTATAATAGGAAAAAGACTAGGGTGTAGAGAAAGTAGCAATAAATCCTTTCCTGGAGAGTTCACAGGCCAAAGAGTTGAAAGATATAGTCGGTAAATTTAGTGAGAATTTTTCAGATTTACCCGGGCGTACGGAGATAGTGAAGTGCAACTTCCAGTGCTCCACAGAAGCACCCGTATATGTCAAGCAGTACTCGTTGCCTATAGCTATGCAGGAAGCCATCGAAAAAGCAGTGGAATAAATGCTAAAGCAGGGTATAATTTAGAGGTGCAACTGCATAATATCCTGAAGATAGATGTGGAACCTATTCCCAGAATTGATGTAGTGGTGGCTGAAGTGGCAAATAAAAAATATTTCTCGAAGCTAGACCGCTTAAAGGGGTATTGGCAAATACCAATGGAAAAAGTGTCAGAAGAAAAAACAGCATTCACGTGTTCCAGGGGGTTATGCCTGTTCAGATACATGCCTTTTGGGTTGAAATCAGCAGTGGCTGTATTCACAAGGGTGATGAGGGAGGTTATGCACGTTGTGCCCTATGAAGAGCATTACATCCTGGTTGCGACTGACACATGGGAACAGCATCTGCAGGCCTTAGAGCTGTATTCACAAGGGTGATGAGGGAGGCTATGCAGGTTGTGCCCTATGAAGAGCATTACATCCTGGTTGCGACCGACACATGGGAACAGCATCTGCAGGCCCTAAAGCAGCTGTATGGCAGGATAAAGGACGCTGGGCTGACCATTAAACTTACGAAATGTAAGTTAGGATACAACAGCATGTATTTCTTGGGGCAGAAACTAAGGTTAGGCCATGTGGGCCTGAAAAAAAGATATTGGACAAAATCCAAGCAGTGGAGAGACCTAAAACGAAGACATGGGTCCAATCATTCCTAGGCTTCACAGGGTTCTATCGCAAGTTCATGCCCTATTACGCAGAAATAGCAGGACCACTTATCAAGTTGGCCAGAAAGGGAGTGAACAATGTGAAATGAGAGGAGGTGCATGAAATCGGGTTTGAAAGGTTCAAGCGTGAAATGTCCCGCTCTCCCATACTGTTGGCACCAGATATGTAGAAAGAGTTTGTGCTATGCAGCGATGCATCGAATGAGGCACTAGGGGCAGTACTCCTGCAAGAGAGAATTTTCCACCCTGTGTTCTTCGCAAGTAAGAAGCTGAAGAGCACGAAGCAGAATTAGTCCACCATTAAAAAAGAATATTTGGCTTTGGTCATCATCATCATCAGCCTGACTACACCCACTGTAGGGCAAAGGCCTCTCCCATGATCTGAAAATCAACCCTGTCTTGTTATTTCCGTTGCCACATTATACCTGCAAACTTTTTAATCTCATCGGCTCACCTATGTGAATGAAAAGGTATGGGGGGTAAAAAAGTGTCTTGTCTATTCATTTAGGAAGCCCTTCAGAGTGCAAACAGATCACCGATCGTTAGAATTTTTGAGCAAAGCAAGGCTAACGAACAGAAGAATGATGAGGTGGAACTGGACCTCGCAGGAATACTGTTTCCACATGGAGTATATCAAGGGATGACAAAACGTAAGTGCAGATTTTATGAGCAGAGCCATGTGAATTTTGTGACAGTGTGTCGGGAGGTGCGAATTATGGGGAAATTGGGTGGGACAATGTGTGCAACAATGTGTGAACGATAGCAGTGATGACGCACAAATAAAAAGTGCTGTGATTGATGAATAAATGCGTGATGAGGTCAATGGAAAGAAAGAGGCCAAGAGAGAAGAGCAAGGACAAGGCTGAATCATATGAACAACAAAAATTAGCAGGTTTTTTTTTTGTGTTTGTGAGAAAGCTCTTTAAAAGGGGCTCAATGTGATTGGTACAGGAGAGGCGCAAAGTGCGAGCTGAATGTGGAAGCTGGGCGACGGTGCACGAGGAGAAAAAAGTGGCACGAGGGCCTGTGCACCAGCCACGTAGACGCAGAGGATTGGCCAGATAGAGGCTCGTCTCATGTGACCCGAGCTGTGATGGTGAACGACAAAGGTGAACGAGTCACTGTTCTGTGGGGTGCTGGACGGAGAAGACTGAGGAAAAAGCAAGCATCGCTCTCACCCGCGACGAGAGCGGCTGGTATCTGATTTTGGAGGCGGCGACGAGCAAGACCCGGGGAATGGCCGTCGACCTTGGAAGGCTCCAAGCAAGGCTGTTGGACATGTTGCCCCTCGGCATTGCAGGTCTGGGATCGCCAGCAGCCCTTCTCTTCTCGGCAGGACGGCTGCATACGACAGTTGAGACAAAGTGTCCCTCTCCTGTGGAATCCTGAAGCAAGGGACCTAGGCCTGGTTAGGCCTAACCTCGACTGAGCGAAGACAATGAAGGCTACTGAAGACAAGCGTGACAAGGACTAGGGGCAGGCAGGCTTGGCGAATGCAACTGACGATGAACTTGGGCACCTGCTGAGGACGTCGACGACAGTCTTTTTGAGAGATTGACGCGACGGGAACATAGGGTTGGCATGGCGAACAATAATCGAACTCTAAGAACATTCTAGTACCATTAGGTCCATAGGGGCCAAACTGAGTTGAAGAGACGTATCTAAGCTTAGCTAAAACACCCTGTTTAGTGAGTTTCAGTGCTTGGTATGCACTAAGATTTGTTACTGTAAATAGGGTATTATTTGTATTGCTCAGTGTCATTAATTCTTTTTTCCTTTATAAAGTTTGTTGGTCGTGCTAATATGGTCTCCTGTGCCCGTCTCACTCTCTCCCAATCTGATCCAATATTGCAGGCACTCCCGAGATAATAGTGACACATGGTGAATTCATTCGCTGGCTCGATTGAGTTTAGGTGGGCTTGAAAGCTTTCGACGTTAGACCCCTTGTTAGAGTGAACAACTGGGTGTGTTGGTATTGCTTGATTCGAAAAAGAAGGTGCAAAGGAGGCAACGTACAGCATCTTTCTTTCCATCCATCATCCTTTTTGCGCCTTCTTTTTTGAATTAGAGTTTTTGATCACTCAAAAAACCTCATCCGCATATGTCAAAGACATTTTTGGTGCTTTGACGAACATGTTCATGGCTTGTTTTTATATTTTCTGCCTGGTTGAGCTCTAGCAGTACTTCTTGCTGGGCTAGTCGGTTCATGTTCTTGTACAGACTGCAGAGATATGCCTGTTTTTCGGCCTGTACTGGAATGGACGGGCTCGCCACTGTGGCTGAAATGGCAGCATTCATCACAGTTCCACTGGCTTGTATGTGGAATTCAACCCCAAAGGAGAAGATGTGTTGAGGCAAAACTGTACCAGTCTGCACAGCTTAAGTTGGTTCTTTTGCCGAGTTTCTCGTATTTTTCCAAGGCGGTAAGGGCAGCAGAGACCGCGAGGTGTACAGGCACACTTGTTCGCAGAGAAACAACATAAAAGAGCATGTTGCTTTTATCACTATCGATTGTTACTTCTGACATACGCTCAGAAAAATGGGTGGCGTTTCTCACATGGGTGACTGTCTTTACCACATGTGGCAGCAGAGTCGTGCGAAAATGTTTGCTGTACGAGGGAATTCAAATGTGAATCAAGACCAGCTAGGCCAGCAGCTGGTTACTATAAAAAAGTAGACATTTTTGTTAGCTTCAGCTGCCACCATGAATTGTCTGCTTTCGGCAAGTGCATGTGTGGCAAGTGCATAGGTCGGCGAAAATTGTGAAGCTCACTCATGAAGTATATTTTGCGCTTAGGGCTCTCTTGGCTGGGACTCAACAAAATTTCACTGAGCCAGACTAACTCAAACTCATGCTCACAAAAATATTCCTCACCCAGAGCTATTCGGCTCACTGAAATTTTTCTGAGTCTCAGTCCAAGTGAGTCGACTTATGCGCGAGTTCACCGGCCTGTAAGTGTGACCCACATTCTGACTGTGTGCCTGAAAGGTGCAGGTCCCGGAGGACCCACTGCTACTCCGTCAAGAACAGCAGCACGAGCGCCTTTCAGACTTGACGCTGTCATCTGCAGCTGGGGGCACCATGACACCCAGCACCCTCAGCCCCTGCTCTGAGACGGGGCCTGAACCAAGCCCGCGAGCGGTGAGTCCTATCTCCCAAACCGAGAGATTTCAATGGAAGAGCCACCAGGCACTTCGCAAACACTGGAGCGGCACTTCTGCAGTGTATTTCATACCTGCCAAGTCTCCAGAATTTTCCGGGAGACCCCCTGATTTTGAGCAGTTCTTACGTTTGTGTGGTTGTCATGAAAATCTCCCGGAAATTGAAATGTCTTTGTATGGTGTGGCTGCATTGACCAAAATGCAGCCCAATCCGATCCAAGGTTTCTGTGAACCCATCGTATCTTATTGTTCAAGAATTCAGGAGGCTTTCATCTAAACGTACATAGAATCTCAATGATGCGAAACCGGCAGATACAGATCCACTAAATTCCCCAGTCAAATTCTACTATGTCCATTAGGCAAAAATTTGGATGTTTTGAACACTTTTCCTTATCGTGGCATGTCGTATGAACTTGAGTACTGAAACCGTTGAACGAAGGCCGAGAGCACATGCTCAAAGCTTCGGAAGGATGTGCATGCCTAGCGCACGCACTGTAAGAAGTGTGGTTATCAATTGCCACAGACAAAACTGCGGTCTCTCTTGACACAATCCTGTATTGCGACGACGTAACTGGCAGAACTCCAAAAATGCATGTGTGTCACATGCTCGACCAGTACAAGCAACGTTGCTTTCAACAAACGCTGCGGACAAAACTGTGCTCTCGACTGATCATTTATGGCGATGACGCAACTGGCAAAACTCTAAAAGTGCACGTGTTTCACATGCTCAGCCAGTCAAAGCGACGTTGCTTTCCACAAATGCTACGGACAAAACTGTGCTCTTGACACGATCATGTATGGCGATGACGCAGCTGGCAGAACTCCGAAAGTGCATGCGTTTCACATGCTCTACCAGTCAAAGTGACGTTGCTTTTCACAAGCGCTGTGTACAAAACTGTGCTCTTGACACGATCATGTATAGTAATGACGCAACTGGCAGAACTCCAAAAGGGCACGTGTTTCACATGTTCAACCAGTTAAAAGGACGTTGCTTTCCACAAACGCTACGGACAAAACTGTGCTCTTGACACGATCATGTATGGCGATGATGCAGCTGGCAGAACTTCTGAAGTGCATGCGTTTCACGTGCTCCTCCAGTCAAAGCGACATTGCTTTTCACTAGCGCTGTAGACAAAACTGTGCTCTTGACATGATATTGTATGGTGATGATGCATCTGGCAGAAGTCCGAAAGGGCATGTGTTTCACATGTTCAACTAATTAAAGGGACATTGCTTTCCACAAAGTTGCGGGCATAACTGTGCTCTTGACATGATCATGTGTGGCAATGGCGGAACTGGCAGAACTTCGAAAGTGCACGCGTTTCACATGATCAACCAGTCAAAGCGACGTTGCTTTCCACAAGCGCTGTGGACAAAACTGTGCTCTTGACACGATCAAGTATGGTGATGACGCAACTGGCAGAACTCCGAAAGGGCACGTGTTTCACATGTTCAACCAGTTGAAGAGACTTTGCTTTCCACAAATGCTGCGGACAAAACTGTGCTCTTGACCGATCATTTTTGGCAATGACGCAACTGGCAGAACTCCGAAAGTGCATGCATTTCACATGCTCCACTAGTCACAGCGACGTTGCTTTCCACAAGCGCTGCAAACAAAACTATTCTCTTGACACGATCATGTAAGCCGATGACGTAACTGGCAGAACTCGGAAAGTGCATGCGTTTCACACGCTCCATCAGTCAAAGCGACGTTGCTTTTCACAAGCGATGTGGACGAAACTGTGTTCTTGACACGATCATGTATGGTGATGACACAACTGGCAGAACTCCGAAAGGGCACGTGTTTCACATGTTCAACCAGTTAAAGGGACGTTGCTTTCCAGAAATGCTGCGGACATAACTGTGCTCTTGACAGGATCCTGTATTGCGATAACGCAACTGGCAGAACTCCGAAAGTGCACATATTTCACATGCTCAACCAGTCAAAGCGACGTTGCTTTCCACAAATGCCACGGACAAAACTGTGCTCTTGACACGATCATGTATGGCGACGACGCAGCTGGCAGAACTTCTGAAGTGCACGTGTGTCACATGCTCGACCAGTCAAAGGGACGTTGCCTTCCACAAACGCTGCGGACAAAAATGTGGTTTTGAAACGATCATCTATGGCGATGATGCAACTGGCAGAACCCCGAAAGTGCATGCATTTCACATGCTCCACCAGTCAAAGCGACGTTGCTTTCCATAAGTGCTGCGGACAAAACTGTGCCTTTGACACGATCATGTATGGCGATGACACAACTGGCTGAACTCCGAAAGTGCACGTGTGCCACATGCTCCACCAGTCACAGCGACGTTGCTTTCCACAAACGCTGTGGACAAAACTGTGCTCTTGACAGGATCCTGTATTGCGATAACGCAACTGGCAAAACTTTGAAAGTGCCCGTGTGTCACATGCTCGACCAGTCAAAGGGACGTTGCTTTCCACGAACGCTGCGGACAAAACCGGGGCAAATGCAATCACCGACAGCAAAGAACGACTGGTATTTAAAGGCACTGGCTGCGCATGCGTATCAAAAAAGGAAGTACCTCTTTTTTGTAACCGCCGTGTCATGAGTAAGTGGGCACTAGGCATGTGCCAGGCGCTGGAATGTGGTGTCCACGCGCGACACCCCCAATTTTGTGCATACGCACAACATGATGAGCTGTCACTGCGCTGTGAAGCTTAGAACTGCGAAGGTCAGGAAGCTACCGTGACGAAAGCAGCAAAGCTTCCCGGTTCTGAAAGTGGCTTTCGATCTCAAAGGTTCGAGCGAGGCTGCTCGGACTTGTGGCAACCTTGCACAGCAGTTCCGGGATGGACTACAGCTCTTCCACTTCGAGCCAGAATCTATGTGGCCCACACCAGTTATTGGAGTGCGTCGTCAATGAGGTCATGGACGAGCTGGGTTTGACCAAGGGGGCCAAAGATGACGAATAAGACCGGGACACCGGCAACGAAGACTGGCAGCTCGTTCTGCGATGTCTTCGAGGGCGATTTCGACGACGATACCCCTTAGTCGTAGTTTCATAAGTGGCATTGGAACAGTAAGAATGTTCTACTATTGCGGGAGTGCATGAGAGTATGGTCCCTAGAATATACTGGCTTGTCTGCCGTCTTCGCTCTCCACCGCCGCTGCTCGGTGATGCATGTGGTGGTGGCACTGTACACTATCGGAGTTCCTTGAGCAGACGCCCCTCCCGCGATTTGTCTCTAGAAACGGGCTGGCGTAGCCGTTTCCAGGTCAAAGTTACGCGGTGTTTCTTATTACAAATGGTGACATTGTGTACAAATAAGTGGTGGTGTTTACGCCTTGGGTGCCCACATTTTTACTTCTTTGTCGGCTTCCAACCTGGACTAACAGTAAATAAACTAATTTGTTTCTGCTTTCTCACGCAAAACTTCTTTTTTCGTCACTTGTTGGAAAAACACCTCAGGCTTCTTTTTGGTGGTCTAGCTCTCGTATCTTTTTATTATACATGTCTACCTTTAATTATTTAATTAATACGTGTGCACTTGCAAAATGGGAACTCATACCAGAACCTAAACATGATAAGCCAAACTAAAAGAAAAGCGAAACGCAGGGCCAGTTCGTCATGTATGTTCACTGTTTAGGAAAGGAAAGCAATGTCGAGTATCTTGTAGGGCACGTACAGCATGAATAAAACAATCCCTATATTTAAATAAATGTAGCAAAGCAAAGAAATAATTGCAGTGCGAGACAAGTGAGGTGGACGAGCGGTCGATCGATGACATTGAGTGGCGCATCTTAGTGATTGTTCTTTAAATTGTGCCAATGTGCCTTTCATGAGCACATGAAACAGCGATAAAGAGAAAAAAAAGCACGTGCATGCAGTTGTACATTTATCTTTTCTGTGTTGTGTACGACTGAAAAGATTGAAATTACCGTATTTACTCGCATAATCCTCGCATGTTTCTTTGGGAAAGATAGATGCTAAGTTGGGGGGTGCAAGAATTACACGAGGAAAACTTTCCACAAAAACGTACAGAGCGATAAAGAAAACGAAGTGGCGGCAAATCGGGATTCTCAAGCAACTAACAGCTAGCTTTGAGAAGTACTAATTAAAACTTATTTCAACAATAAAAGCACAGGTTCAACACAAGGCAAGATTGAGACACGAAAAGTGCAAGGAAATGGTCGAGAATTAGAATACCATACGCAAAGCTTGTAGGCGTTGCAGGCGTAGCGGTAGGGTTCGTTGCTCAACAGGAGCCCTCAAACGTTAAGCGTAGGACGTCAGTATTGGGCTAATGGCTATTTAACAGAACCGTTCGCAGTTTCCTTTTGAAGAAATAGTTTACCATCAATCCCAGTTTTAGGCACATGGCAGGCCCAACGCGTCTCGGTGGCTTTCAGCTGCCGTCACCAGTAGCGAACACAAAACTCGTAGACTCCGAAGGGCCTACTGGTGGCCCTGTTGCCATTGTTTAGTGCATGATCTATCACTTTCAACTTGAAAGCACCCGTGTAGCTTCAGTATCACCCCATAACGCGACACGATTACCAACACAACATACAAAACGTGCCACAACGCGCACTTGCCACTTTGGCTTGGCTTGGTTTGGATTGGATTGAATCTCTGTGCAATAGTAGTACACTTGATGCTTAAGAGATGGCGCCAAATGGCGCACGCTATCATCATCAGTGGCTGGAACAAGTAGACGACAATATTGCGGCAGTTTTCGGGGGTGTGATAATTACTCAAGGAAAAAAGAAACCGTATTTTTGTTGGGCGATGAGGGGAATGCGAGAATTTTGCGAGTGCCAGGATTACGCGAGTAAATACGGTACCATCCACCATTTGTGCTAATAATGCCCACTTCGCACCTATTTTGCGTTCATTCCTGCAGCCTTCAACAGTTTTAAAGATCGAACGCATATAGGGAAGAAAATACGAACGACACGAATCAAGAGAACAGTAATATGCTTCTGATGGCATATGAGAGGCTGATACACATATGCTTATGATAGCATTTTGTGCGAATTTTCTGCTTTAAAGTTTAAGGAATAACTTATTTCTCATTTCATTATACTGTCTGGCCAAATATAGTGTAATTTGAATGGAATAGTATGAACTTTGCTAACTGCATGAAAAAAAAAATTTCAGAAGACCTTAACTGAAGTATATTAACATGTGTGATGAATTTTCTCTCTCATTCTGAAAAGATTATTGAGTTTTTTGTTCTCTGTGACACACCGAGAACCAATCTGAATTATTCGGAGACTTTGCACAGTAAGCATGGCATGATGTTTTCATTCTCAGAAATGCTTACGTACAGGCGGAAAAATTGAGGTTACAAATAGTTCATACGTTTGTGAGAGCAAGTTAACAATACTTTGCTATAAGGGAAGCCTTCCTAAATACTCTAAAAAATAATATTCCGCCCTTTAGTTTTTTTTCAAGCAACCGCGTCCTGTTCAATGAGGGGCTGCTTCCGCCACTGTGATCACGTCAGTGTCCCGAAGCCGGTTAAAGACGGTTCAGCCTCTGCCCACTCAACCAAAAACAGAATGAGTAGTTCATCTGGGAGTACAATAATAAAAGACTAGGCACGATGTGCCACCGATCTCCCCCCTGCGCAGCCTATGCAAATGCGCCACGAACACGCTCCGATAGACTCCAGTGCCCCCTTTGTATGCATCAGTGGCGCGCACACGGCCTTGCATGGGGACGGCATAAGGATGGCAGACTAGAAGGTATATTCTAAGGACTATTATGAGACTAGCCACCGAGACGCCATCTTAGCTAGAGACAGATTAGTGCTAAGGATCGAACTTGTCTTGGATCGAAGTTAGTTACAGTTTCCTTGTATAGCCCATTATTTTGTCTCTTTTTGGGAGTGAATTCTGAATGTCAGATTGTTTGCCGTTTTGTTTAATATTAAAATGGGTTGGCCGGGTTACCGCCTACTTGCGTCTTTTTCTCAATCAAACCCTTCGTAAACGCTCCCGATGTAAATTTGTGACATGCCATGAGCAAAACCGTGGTCGCTACGATGCGATCACGGAATAGCGACTACTAGCTTGGGGCACGCGGCTAACGCTGCGGTAGGTTAATCGCAATACGCACATAAAAAAAGGCTAGAAGCCTTCTGGCATTCCTGTCCTAAGAATCTGGTAACGTACGTTGTTCCTGTTACTTTGGCATTCAGTTTGCTGTTGGTCTTGAGTGATGTTTTGACCCGCGCCTTATCGGCAGCTGACTGCGCCGTCCCGTCCCAGGAAGACTTATGTGAGTTACAGATACAGATTTTGCTAGTTGTTTTGAGGGTGAGAAATTTCGGGAGATACGAGTACTGTTGTTGGGAAACCTTAGCCACGTGTGTTCAGCCGCTCCAAGCCATTATAAGATTTGCAACGCCGATGTTTAGAAACCCCCTCCCCCACTCATTTTTTCTCGTTCTTTTTAGGGAAAAAGAAACGGGATGGGGGGATTAGTCAACATGACCCCCCCCCCCCCTCGTCTGTTACTGAAATTTCCCGGATTTAATATCATTGGACTTGGCAGGTTTGATATTAAATAAAATCAGGACGAGCCTTTCTTTTCTAAAAAAATTGTGTTTTTGTTTAGCATTGGGCTACACATGGCTGAATGGCAACTTTTTGTTTGAGGACGGAGGTTTGTGGTTGTTCATCTCATTGTCTCGCCCTTATATTTACATTTTTTAAGCATCATTTTGTTGAGCCATATCAATTTTGCCGAGTTTCAAGGGCTTTCTGGCACGTTCATTTAATCAGAACTTGTTGTTGGGCTAGTACGTGCATGCCTAAAGCATTCGCTGTCTAACAATTTCTGTATAACCAGTGCTGCCGCATCATATCCAACTTTAAAAAACTTTTCTTGGTGAGTTGTGCACACAGAGCTGTACTACATTGAGCACTCAATTGGGCTTAACCCTGGCTTTGTGTAGTCATGTATTTGCACACAATAGTGTCATAAGGTGAATGGTGCTCTTTTGCACGCAGTTTTTTGATGACTCTTCAGACACGGACGCCTCTGAGCAAAGTGAAAGTGCTGCATCTATGCTGCTAGAGTTTCAGGTAACACCAAAGGCTTTGGCTTGGCTGCAAATGCAGGCTTTAAGATGCGTCGGTGGTCCTCCAAGCTTCTCTGCTTCCAAGCCTGTAGTATACACAATACAGATAAACCTGGATAAACGAAATTGACAAATTCCCAAAATAATTCGTTATAAAGAGGATTGGTTTTATGCAGGGTCGGTAAGAAAATATAAAAAATAAATGCACAAATAAACAAAAAAGGGGAACTGAAGGCAGAGATTTTTGAGAACACTTACTTAGCGGTAAAACACTGCGTTATTATTGCGATAGTAAATATATAGGCACTCTCGACGGGTTTCTGCTGTTGCCGCCATGATTGGTAACAAGTCCAAATTGATGACATGCCCGCGTGAATCGTAACTTCTATGAGCGGGTAAGCGCGCACTACTGAAACGCAGATCAAAGGAGCTGGCCAATCTCTATCGCCTAGAGGGCAGGGTGCATACGGTAACATCCCCCCGCGTGTAAGAACTGCCGTCAAATGCTCAGTGTTGGAAGGGCTGCGCCGATTGCGCCATTCTGCGCCAGTCTGATTTTCTGTGCCAGGCTGCGCATAAACGGCCATTTCCATGATAATTGTCGGTTGAAAGTGTACACTGTCTAATCTATCCGATTATTGTTGTGACCAAGCAACACTGAGCGTTGGCTATACAAAGGACATGGCCGCATCCATATCCAGTGTTCGATCGCGTTGTAATTCACTTGATTAATAGTGCTTGCTTGGGGCTTGCTAGTACCCGTCCCATCGCTGTTATTGCCTTGGTTTGCTCTAAAAAATGGTGGCACCAACATGAGTAACTGTGAATTATCCATTAATACAGTGAAACCTTGATTATTTGTACCAGTTGCAAACGTGGCATGATCATGCACTAAATGGCAGTGCGCGTTTACAAGTACAAATATGCATCCCCTTACGTGCGCCGTTGCCACTAGTGAAGAAGTACAGTACCAAACTAGATGTTTCTCAACGTGCCTACCAGAAAGTATTTTCCTCCTTTTTGCCGAAATTCAAAAAAGGTACTAGACTAGGACTCTTGCACGATCGCTTTATAGCACACAGTGGCAATGCCAAGGAGCATTTCGAAACTATTACAAAGTGTGGGATACGCAGTGACATAACGAACACTATCGGCTTTTCGCGATATGTATGTGCGCTTCTCAACCGCAATATGGTACCAAGCGACACCTGACCGTTTCATAGATACACGTAGTGATCGCGTGGACTCTATCAGTTCCCCAGGTTAGTTTCGTGCAGCGCCGCGACTATGCTGCCCCACGCTGTCGCTGCCGGGCGGCCTGCTGTACCAAGCGCACAGATTAACCGTGTCAATTGGTCGTCGCCACTCTGCTCCAGACCGAGCAAGCAGAGTAGTGTGTTTAATTATCGTGAGAATAACAAACGTCTGACAAGCGGAGTGCGTGGCGTTTATCAAGCGGTCATGAAAACAAAAGATAAGGATTGTTTGTTCCTTGTTTTCTCAGAGTTCTCTGTCAGTTGTGATGTCTAATGATTGGAACACACACGCATACCCACACACACACAGACAAACACGCACGTACACACCCACTACTGGGTGGTAAGTCTAGTAAGCGCATTAGTACTAAATGTATAAGGAGCAATTTTTTTCTACCAGAAATAATTTTGACCATGGTGTCTGACCCTAGAAAGCTGCTCCAAAACTAGCTTGCGTTGCTCCAAAACACTCCTTTTGGGTGCTCCGAACCGACTCCAAAACTCCTCTTTTACTGTGCCAAACTTGCTCCAAAACAGCCTTATTCCTGCTCTCTAAGCTGCGCCAAAATGAAGTCCACTTCCACCACTGAATGCTCAAAAGAGCAGAAAAAATTTAAAAAGAAGGGGGGGGGGGGGGGGCTTGCTCGCATAGCAACTGTAAACTTTAATTTTAAGGGCACATGCTATCTTGGCAAGCATCTGTCGGCTTTCAGCGTGAATAGACTGTGTGAAAAGAGCACTTCTTCTCGGAGCAGCCGTATTTGCTTCCAGCTCGTGATATTGGATCCAAAAGAGTTGCCTGCGAGCGTTACTTCATATAACATTACAATTTGTTATCGCATTCATTGCATTGTATTCAGCGCGCCGTCATGTTGCCAGAGCTGATCAGCTAATCGCAAAGGCTACGGTCCCGCAAGTGCGCGTCACGGTGCAAGACAGCAAGGAATGTGACGAGTCGACCTCCGAAAATTTGTCGTTGTCTCCACCATCTTGGAGAGTTTCCTACAGCGCCTAATCAGACATCTCCTCAGTAGTAACGACACGGTTGTCCACATTAAAAAGAGAGAGAGAAAAAAACAAAGCTGAACGTCTCCATGCCCATGCAGTGAAACCATGCATGCGCGCACGGCGTTGACCACGAAAAAGCTAACGTCCTGAGTACCATAGAAAACTACTCGTAAAGGTAGGTAGCACCTACCTGGTAAAGCACTCTTCATATGCAGCACGGCTCCACATATGTGATGCTAACTGAAAGCGCAACAATGCAAAGTGGCATCACCTGAGTTACTTAAGATGCAGTTTGGACACTTCTGCAGCAATCAAAAAGGGGCACTGCCAGCGCAAAAGTCTTTTTCTTTTTTCGTGTTCGGTTTGGAGTGAGGGGAAGGGCACAATTTCAGCAATACTGCCATTTTGGCAACACTGGCTTGAAAGGCGCATGCCTTTTGCGCATACACTATTCGAAAAGCGGCAGCGGGTCAACCGCGGAAGATGCATGCTCGTGCCAAAATGACAAAATGCAGGGCAAAATTTCGAGATTGTCCATGGCAAAAATTCATTATATTATGGATTTCTCCTGCTGTTATTTTGTTACATTGAGGTCGCAAATACAATTGCTTCTATGGAGTAATGACAGAGAATAGAAATACTTTGTAATATGGAGGTTCGTTATAGGCAGGTTTAACTGTAGTGCAATGTAGACTACTTCCTCGTTTATTTTGAAATGTTTGTCTTTTAGACTATTATATAATGATGCTAAGTGTGGGTGCTAGCTACAGTGGACTCATATTAAACAAAACTCTTGAAAATGGGACTGCCTCTTATATGATTGGTTTTGTGTTTGAATTCTGCACCACTGTTTATCCCTTTTGTTGTATAAACTAAAGTCCTGTTAAATGAAACATTTCCAGGTCCCTTCAGGTATCATTGAACAGGAGTCTACTGTTGTTGGTATTTCATTTCAAGAGTGATTACAGTGCAAGGAAAAACACGGGGCAACGAGCGCCAGTCTTCATTCGTCTCTGCCTGTGTCTTCCTTTGCCCTGTAATCACGCTTGAAATGATATATAATGTAAGGTATATTTCATTGATACCTTTGGTCGAATGCAACAATTTGAAATGCTTTTAGAACCACTGAATGCTCATGTTATGCAGCACGTGTGTTTTTAACCCCCTTGTTTCTAGTCTTTTTTCTTGCTTGTTATTTTGTGTCTCTTTGCTGTTTTAAAATTGGACTGTTAAAGCTATTCTGACAGATTTAACAAAAATAAGCATCTTCACCACTCTAATAAGGCACACTCTTTTGTTACGAACTTTATTTGTTCTCTCTTTCTGGTCTTTGAAGTCAAATGGACCAGCTCTTGAAGTGCTCGTCAACCATGCAGTTGAGATGCACAACGGTGATCATAACAATGCCTGTGAGCCAGTGCTGTCTCCAGCCAGGTGAGCCTTACTCATTTATTTGTCGTGGCAGTGTACACAATTATTGTTGAACAATAATTTTGCTTGTGCATGAGGCTTTAAGCTTTTGTAGTGCTTCTTCTAAAGTAGAGAGGTACGAATAGCAAAATTTGTGGCACAAGCAGAATTAGAATATTAAAGCTTCAGTGCAAATCAAGTAGAATATCATTCATATAGTATTTCGAAACATTTTTAAAATACAGTTAAACCTCTTTATAAAAAGCATGCTATTGTCAGCAATTCTTGTCTTTTAAATGAGATGGCTCTTATAAGCATGGTACAATGTGTGTATTTTCCTATCAACTTGTATTTTACTGTAGGCGTACTAGTGTCCCTTATAAAGGGGTTTGACTGTACTTATAAACAAAATTGTGGAAAAAAGATGAGTAGGATCCGTGAGCACATTCTTAGAAATAAGAAACATGAAAACCTCTCTTTTAGTAAGTTAAACTTAAAGCTTAGGCTAGTACTTCGTGTTGTACATTGCATTCACTACTAAATTTTTTATTTCAGAAATAACCATTATAAGAGACAAACCTCTTATGTTTCCTTCATGCACACACTGAAAGGAAGATTCAATCACTGTGTACAAACAAAAAAATCAAACAACAACAAAGAAATATATATGTCACATGTTCAGTACGGTTCACTCTTAAAGGGAACACTCCAATGAGCACCCTTTATAGTACCGGCCTCGCTATCAGCAAGTGGATGTAGAAGCATTGCTGAGGCATTCCACAATTTCGCTAAAAAGAGTCACAACTGTCGAGCATCAGTTGTCTTATGCAAATCTAAGCCATTATGCTTTTGCAAGAGAGCAATACCCTGACATGCCCTATGCACAAGTGTTCCCTTTAAAAGTGGGCCCGTCTGCGCTTGTCTGAAAATTGATTTGTTGTCGTCTTCCGTTCACTACAGTACAATCAATTATGTAACATTACTGATGTTTCATTGATATGTGCATGAGAATTATCTTGGCCGTGGCAGAGTGCTAACGTGGTGCAGTAACGTCACGGAGGAAATTTCGTTTTCACCAGAGCATGACAGAAGATGCTTCTGGTGTGTTGCCATCATTTACATACATGACACATGAGATGAAAATCTTTATACCCCCTCCTACATTGTAAATTTTCTTGGATGTCATCTTGAAAATCAACTGGAAAATGAGACAGATATTTTAGAGGCACACAGTAATACAGTGTAACCTTGATTATACAACTTTCAGGGGACCACGCAAAGCCGCCATTTAGTCCGGGTGTTGTATAATTGGAAAACTAAGATTAGAGGCAGCGACATTAAGCCTTGGCCAAAAAACAGGTACAGACTGCCTGAATAAGCCCAAGGCACAACCTTGTGCCTCTGCAAGGAAGGTAAATCAAATTATTCTTGTAAGGAACAGCTAATGGCAGCATTACATAGTAGAAGGAGGTGCGAGCGAATCTTTATTCTCAACTTAATAAAAATAGAATCCAACTTCAACTTTCTATTAATAAACAAAGTTTGAAAATTGACTGCGTGTGAAAGCCAAACCGAAACCGCATTGGCAACAGCTTCCCATCAGAACGCAGCGTCATCGCTATCACATAATGGTGACAAACCACGAGTTATCATAGAATGCCTTCGTTTGCGACTAGGCTGTGCGCGTTACAATTTGTTGGCTTCTGAAGTGCAACTGGTGATGTCCCACTGTTATTATGAACGTTGACGTTGACACCCAGTGGAAGTAGTTTTGCCCGGTGAAAACAGCTGTGTCGCGCCCTTGTGTGCATGCAAGTCTGTGGCTGCGAGTGCGACAAAGGCAGGAAATTTCTATGTCGATTAGGAAAATTTTCCACGAACTGAAAACATGAAATATCAGCTTTTTGGCCGACTGAAGCTGCTCTGTGTAGATAGAGCTTGACTAAGTAAGAACCCTGATAGACGCGAGTTTTGCTTTCCAAGAAGACATCCTGCAGCACTCTACTTTTTTTAATAGTCGACCTAAGGGAACGCAAGTTCATATTTCGCACTCGTGAATATTTGATCGACATTTGATTTGAGTAAATCTGTTTTTTTTTTTTTTTGTGAATGGTATGTGAAAGTTGTAACATGCGGGGTTGGCGCAGAACTGCGTCGTGTAACCATGGTTTTTAATACATTATTTCTATGGAGATTTTGCAGGGACCAAACTGATTTGTTGTGAAATGCGGGTCGTCGCGATACCAGGGGACGTATAATCGAAGTTCCACTTCGATGCTGCCCAAGATATCTGAAAAGAGCTGCTAGTTTTGGGCCCTGAGCAGAAGTCGTCTGCCACTTACATGGGCCCCTCACTCCTCGCTCGCATTTTGTGCACTCAGATGCGTAGATGGCCTTAAAAGCGAACGTTTACAATTTTAGTGAGCAAGCTGTCATACATCTCTTCGCGATTTGCTGGCTCTCTGTCTCTAAAGTCCACTCAGTGGTGTCTGCACTGTGTCAATAGTGCTGACTTCTCGATCTTTGCATGCACTTTTCGTAGTGGTATTTAGAGCATGTAAGCAGACAGGAAATGAAAGACCAAGGTATACAGACGAGCACTCACTTCAAGCTGACATAGTTTGAAGTGAGCGCTCGCCTATATACAGTGAAACCTCGTTATAACAGAAGTTGAAGGAGAGTCGTAATTACTTCATCATAACCATTAGTTCGTTATAGCTGATATCCATTTCTACCGACAATTCGCCAGCAAGAGAGAATGTACACGAAAGAATATCACAGCTGCCCGCTGAACAGAGAAAAACGACCGTTGGAAGGCAAGGAATTAGCAAAATAACAATGAACAGTGCACTTTATTTCCGCCAAATTCAGCACAGCAGCTGGCTGATCACTTCAAAGAAAAATAGTCCTTAATAATATTGACTTTGCCGACTCTTCCTCACGCGGATGACTGCTTTTTGAGCTGTAGCAAATATTTCGAGTCCGTCCTCGTCATCATCGTACAGCAGCACAGCAGGTTTGTCGCATCCAGCGCTTGCGTGGGTGTCGGGTTCGCCAACATTAGGCTCCAGGGTGTCGGCACATTCGTCACTGTCGTCTTGTGCACCCGTCACCGTGGGCACAATTTCCGCATCTGACACAATTCTTCGGTTGTGGCCGTGTCAGAATCGGCACCGGCGTTGTGGGTCTCGAAATGACGAGCACGGCAGGCTTTTGGAGTGAACGGACACAGCAGACACGGTCAGAACAAACGAAACCAAACACATTTATTTAACTGCTTTGGAATGACGATATTGTCAGTTGAATTATTATAAAATCAATCGTTATCAACACGCTAAGACATGGTTACACAATATTAAACAACAGTCAACAACATGACAAACCAGGCAGTGTCGCTAACGCCTGACTCACCACATGGGCCCACCGCAGACGGCCCGCGGTGCCGTTCATGGCAGACCCATGGCTGGAGGCAACCGTCCGCGCTACCGTCCCACGCCAAAAGAGCCCAGCTCATTTCTTGCATGCCCCCACCAAGGCTTCCCGCCAGGCGTCGCCGCTGGTGCTAACGTTTTCTAAGCATGATGATGATGATGGTGGCTATAAACGCTCACAAGCACAACGCCACCTACAGCTCAATAGTTGTGACCCCGAAATACGGCTTTTGTGCATAACACATGCGCCACGCGGCGCAGACAACTTTACAGGATATGTCAGCACCCCACAACGTACATGCAGAAAGTGCCGCAGTCGGGCAGAACGCCGGTGTCAAAGAGAGCATTCCACAACGTCTCAATCTGGTCGCCCACAGCACCCACATCGCCAAAATTTTCGGCCACTTTTGACTAAAGGGCTTTTAACACTGCCGACTTCTGCTTGATTGTTTATTTTTGCGCTTACATATGCAGCTGCCATTGTCCATGTCGTGTTTAGCGGCAGAAATTGATAGAGGTAGTGTTGCTCTTTCGCAGCAAATGACAAGGACGAACGCCACGATCTCCGCCGCCCCGGCGGTGTGCGAGGCCCCAGTAGGTGTTTTCTGGGCTTCAGCGTGGAGCTGAAGGGGAGAAGGACGTCGGATGCGCGACCGGGTCATTGAGTTCTAAAGGAGAGGGGATGCCGGCTGACGCGCACTCTCTCCTCCGCGGGCGAGTCCATTAGTTCCTGAAGAAAGGGGAGGCAGGGAGACTCGCTCCCACACGCGTTTTGGCAAGCAGCTCCCGGGGAGCGCAAGGCACCAGTTTTGAATTACCGCAGCCGTGATAAGACGTAAGCTGACGCGCACTCTTAGATATTGAATTGACGTATACCACAATGATCTGTAAATGCTCATTGCTGACGAAGAATGGTTCGTTATATTCATTTTGAGGAAACTTTCACTTCATTTTAACAAGCTTTTAAATACATGAAAATTTCAAGGGAAATACGATTGCTTCATTATATCCATTAGTTTGTTATATCCTGCTTCGTTATAACGAGGTTTTGCTGTACCTTGGTCTTTCGTTTCTTGTCTGTTTACGTGCTCTAAATACCAGTATGTTCAAGTACAAGCTCCCCCAAACTTTTTTTTTAAACATGAACTTTTCATGTAGCAAGAAAGGCAAACATTTTTCACATTTCCACCTGTGCTTCTTTAGGATGGTAAGGAAAGGAGCCGTGTGAGGCTACAAGCGTGGGCTTTTCCCACACCAAGAAAACATTGATAGCTTGCACCACGTTACTACGTTTTCAAGAAGCACCTTCACGAACAATACCTTATGTACTCGCGTAATGATAGAACTTTTTTCCCAACAAATTTAAGCAAAGTTAGGGGTGCGTTTATTATGCGGGGCAAATTTTATACAAATTTTTGTGGGATGAGCAAAAAAGGTAGTAGTCAGAAAAAGAGAAAAGGTAAGTAGCTTAACGTTTTGCAATTGACAAACACGTACTACTCTGTTTGGAAATGGCTGCTTTGTTGCACTTCACTTATCTTCAATGGTTGATGGTACTATCTTCTGCAAGCTGCCCCGCGCTGCTCGTGCACA